AGGGATTGTGGGGCTGGCGCGGGATCGGGCAGTGTTTCGTTCTGCTGTGCATGGGGTCGCTATGAGTCGGAAACGACTCGACGGCACTTAACAACAAAAAAAATGGTTAAAGAAAAAACAACCTCATTGCCATGGAGTCAGATCCAACTCATAGCAACTCCTCCCTGGGTTTGCCAGGCAGTATCACTACAGAAATAGATTGCCCAATCTTCCTTCCGAGGAGCCACTGGTGGGTTTGAACCACCAACCTTCTGGTCAGCAGTTAATGCCTTAGGCACTACACAGGCACACCTTAGTCTTCAAAGAGACACGTTTGCTCTTCAGCACTTTAAAGAAGTCTTTTGCAGCAGATTTGCCCAGTGCAGTATATCCTCTGATGTCTTGACTTCTGCTTCCATTGGTGTTGATTGTGGAATCAAGTAATAGGAAATCCTTGACAACTTCGATCTTTTCTCCACTTATTGTGATGCTGCTTACTGGTCCAGTTGTGAGGATTTTTGTTTTTATTTATTAAATCTACCGCCGTCTGCCAGTTTGTCTTACTATGGTGGCTAGCACGTTGCTGTGATGCTGGAATCATCAACAGTATTTAAAATATCAGCAGGGTCACCCAGGTTTCGGTGGAGTTTCCAGCCCAAGATAGACTAGGAAGAAAGATCTGGCAATCTACTTCTGAAAATTAACCAGTGAAAACCCTAAGGATCACAACAGAATATTGTCAGATAGAGTTCTGGTAGCATAGTGCCTAAGGCACTTGACTGCTAACCAGAGGGCTGGCTGTTCAAACGCACCAGCCACTCCTTGGAAGGAAGATGGGGCAATCTACTTCCGTAGTGATATTGCCTCAGAAACCCAAGGAGGGGTCGCTATGAGTGTATGACTCAACGGCACATAACAACAACAACAACAACAGATGAGCCCCCTAAGTTGGAAGGCATGCAAAATGGACAGTGGCTGCAACAATGGATTGAAGCATATCAAAGATATAAGGATAACACGGAACTGGGCGTGGTTTTATTCTGGCCCATAGCATTGCCATGAGTCGGAGTCAACTTGATGGCAACTAATAACAATTTATTGATTATCTGCTATGAGCCAAGTGCTACGTTATCTTTTAATTCTCATAAGAATGCTGAGAAATAAATATTTTTAGTCCCATTTAATAGCTGAGAAACTTGTAGGTAAGAGAAGTAAAATTTAAATCCAATTCTGTGGCCTCCCACTACTAGATATAACTCTTTGGATATGAAAATTAAGAGAAGTTGTTGTTGTTACATGCCGTGGAGTCGGACCTGACTCATAGCAACCCCTCCTTAGGTTTCCGAGGCAATATCACTATGGAAGTAGATTGCCCCATCTTCCTTCTGAGGAGTGGCTGGTGGGTTTGAACCGCCAGCCTTCTGGTTAGCAGTCAAGTGCCTTAGACACTATGCTACCAGAGCTCCTAAGTTACTCCTCTACAAAGCATGTAGTCAAATATTTCTTGAATGAATGAAAGTAAATGTAGCAAATTTAATGGCAGCAGCATAATTCTAGCTCTATGAGATCCTTTCTAGTCCATAAGCTCTGTGAGAATAGGGACAATGTCTACCCTATGTATTCATCACTGTGTCCCCAGTGCTTAGCTAAGTGTCTAGCCCATGGCCATCACTCAATACATATTTGAATGAGCAAATGGATGTGTGTGTGTGTATATATATATAATATATATATATTTACATGAGAACCTATTGTCTTATTGGGAGCTCTTGTGGCGTAGTGCCTAAGGCATTTGACTGCTAACCAGAAGGCTAGCAGTTCAAACCCACCAGTGACTCCTCAGAAGGAAGATTGGGCAATCTATTTCAGTAGAGATACTGCCTTGGAAACCTGACAAGGGGTCGCTATGAACTATTCTCTTTGCCAAAATCTTAATCCCTCCACCATCTTTGGAAGAGAAGACTTTAGAAGTGACTCTATGTCCACTGCTGCAGCATAGACAGATAGGGAAGTCTCCAGTTCATAGAAGAAGGGTCCATCTGCCTCATGGTCTTTTATTTTATACTGCCACTAGTTGGGCTGGATGTATATCAGAGAACCCGGCAACAAGTTACATGCAGCTCTTAGGAGCTGGTTCACTGTATGTTAAGCTTTTCTGACAGTACCCCATGGGAAGAGGTGGAATGTGATAGGAAGAGCCTGCCTGTTGGGAGTCAGATATGAGTTCCTAAATCTGGTATCTTCAATGCATATCACATTATCACAAGTTATAGTCTCATAGAGGCCCAGTATTCTTATTTGTGACAATGGAGACAATGCCTGCCTTAAAGGGGTTCCTTATTGTGGATGATGATGTTTTTATGTGCTATTGAGTTGATCCCCAGTTATAGAGACTCCATGTGACACAGTAGAACTGCCCCATGGTGTTTTCTTGGAGGTGATCTCTTTCTGGAAGCAGATCTCCTCTCCTCCAGAGCCTCTGGTTGATTCAAACTGCCAACCTTTTAGTTAGCAGACAAGCAGGTAGAGCTTCTTCTAAAGGGCTTCCATGGTGATTAATTAGCTAATACAAGAATACCTCTTTTTATTGTTCTTCACAGATACTGCAATTTTTACAAATTGAAGGTTTGTGGCAACCCTGCATCAAGCAAGTCTATCAGTGCCATTTTTCCAACACTATGTGCTCCCTTCATGTCTCTGTGTCACATTTGGTAATTTTCACAATATTTCAACTTTTTCGTAATGATATTGCATATTTCATAGACTACCAAAACCAAACCAAACAGTATAGTGTAAACATAATTTATATGCACTGGGAAAGCAAAAAATTCATGTGACTCACTTTCTTACACTGTTCGCTTTACTATGATAGTCAGTAACTGAACCCACAGTATTTCTGTAATATGCTTATATATGTGACAGACCCTAGTACATGAACGAACAAACAAACAAACAAATCTGTTGCCCTGCCCTTGAGTCAACTCATGGCGACCACGTGTGTTACAGTGTAGAACTGACCACAGGGTTGTCTTGGCTGTAATCTTTACAGAAGCAGATCTTCAAACCTTTCCTCCATGGTGCTGCAGGGTGGATTTGAACCACCAACCTTCCAGTTAGTAGTGTAGCACATAACATTTGTGGCACCCAGGGACCCTAAAACACAAGTCTCATTAAATGCTATTTTCCAGAATTTTTCTTCTCATATAATCCTCTGCAGATTGAATTACAAGCCATTTTCCTCTCATCATAATC